TTAAACCAAAATATCAAATTACTTGGCTAAGAGCTTAAAAAAGAGGTTGTTTAACCGGCAGCAACTGTTCCTCTGTTTCCTTGGGTCACTGCTCTCAAATAATGACTTTGGGAGGACGCATCCCCGCTTTGCCTTCGAAGGCTGGGCAGCGGGAGCAGGCCACCCACGCCACCGAGCAGCAGAAGCCATCGGCACGCAGCCCTCGGGAGCCCTGCAGTAGCTTTTAACCTCTTCGCAGGCCATTTAACTCTAAATAAAACCAAGCAGGCTTATACGTACGCCCTCACTCCACCGAACGCAGACACCTCTAACACAGAGCGCACCTTTCTGCGCTCTGTTCCCTCCTACGAAGCACGTCAGACACTCGCAGGAACGTCTTTAAAAGCAAAGCTCTTACTTTTGTATAATGGATAAATCTAAAACCACCCATTTAGTTTTCAGTGGGACTGTTGAAGCCGAGGGAAACGTAAAGGTAGAACAAACACCACAGCTGAGTCAGGTTTGCACACGTAGGGCTCTTTTGATTAACAAAAGACCACCTACTTAAAAAATAAAATCCCAGGCACCTGTTTGAAGTTGTTGGGGGGACTTTTATTGTTCACAGTTGTTAAAACCATACCTAGAACTACTGTGACCAGGAGCAGAGAGAAAAAGATTAACCTCTTTCTTTGTTAAATTGATTTTATTCAACACCGTAACAGCAGGCTGACTCCTAGGGTATGCAGAAAAGGCCTGAAAGACCAGTTACCCCATTCCATGCCTAACGACAGAATATTTGCATAATCAGAACACTACAGAAGATGGCCCTGGGGAGCAGCTAGTCTCTGGGCCAAGGATGAGGAAGGAACAAGCGGGGCAAGACCCCCCCTGCCCTGCCTGGTGACCCAGAGAGGGGCTGGACATACCAGACTCCCCTGGGAGAGAGGGAGAGGACCGAGCAGACGGCGGGAGAGGTTACACAGGAGACTACTCAGCAGTTTTGTGGGCTGGTTTATGCACCCCAGATGCTTGAAAGCTGCTACAAAAACCAAGTCAGACGTGGTCTGACTAGCAGTTTGGAGTGAGTCCCTAAACTAGGAAAGCACGGGCTGGAGAGAAGATGCAACCCCTGAGTGAGAGGGCTGGAGACCTCTGAACGACAGAGAGGGAAGCTACCCCAAGTGCCATCTTCCCTCCAAAGTCATGTCAACGCAAGAGGGTCTCCTTCCCTCAGCGACACTGGGAAGCATTAAAATCAAGCAATGAGATTTAGAGAGCAGAAGTTCTGTCAGAACTAGTTCTCTTGGGTTATTTTATTTTGTTTTGTTTTTAATTGGGGAAACATCAAGAACAGCATATCTTTTTAAGTCAAATCTCTCTTAAAAACTCTAAAAAAGCAGCAACTCCTTATGCATTTTCAATTTCTTACGGTCCTTGCTGTACCTGTTCTGGACAAAAATCCAGAAGTTTGTTCCACAGATCTGTCAGAGAAAGAAGATTTTCTACACACCAGTAAATTCACGCTAGAACAGTCCGAAGGAAGCAGAGGTGCCTTATTCTAATGCCTTCCTCTATAAATGTATAGGAAGCACTAATTTTTCTATTTTTATGGAGAAATACTAGTTTAAGAGCTCATTCTGAAATCCTGTCTTTAGATCATGTTGCTTTTCTTCCCATCCAAAGGCAAGCATGTACTCTGACAACTCTGCAAGAACACTTAGACCCTACCCAGTCCAGCACAGATAAAAAGGAATAACTCTTCCTCCAACAAAGTAGGTGAGATCTATCACCCTGTTTGAGAGAGTGGGAACGCAACGGCAAGAAGTCAGCAGCAGGGGAAGGAAATAGGAACTACTGACTCCGAGTGCTTCGTTTTGCGACTGTTAATTCTTTGTTTAAATGACATTTCTGTGTTTCCTGTCCGACGGCAGATGAGAACATAACGCGCAGGGAGCAGCTCGGGACAGCTTCTGGGGCAGCCACGCTGCGGGCCTGCGGGTGGGATGCAGCGGTGGGAGCCAACAGACCTGAATTCTGTTCCGCTCCCAGCACTGACTCACCGCGCAATTTCTGTTCCAGTCAATTAAATCGTTCTTCTTCATTTTTCAGAGTGGCACCTGGTGACATTTGCCCGCTTTTCATCAAGCCCGTTAAAATCTACAACTGAAAAACTCTGCAGAAATACGAACGATTTGCAATCAAAGTTCCAACTTCTGTGAAGGTCTCTGCAAGGAAAGCTCCGGGAAAACATGCCTATGAAAACAAACTGGATGCGTACGGCAAGAGCTGAACCTTGGTTCGGTAACAGGGTTGTGCCTAGAGTGCACATTTACGGACAATCTCGATCATGAATGGTTTTGTGAATTGCGACTCAAACTTCAAAGCATGTGGAAAGTAAAATAAGTGATCCTGGTAATCTAAGTTTCACATGGAAAGTAAACACCAAATATAAAGCTACCAAAGCTTGGCCCTGAATGTGAGTTCAAGATGCAAATAAAGATTCAAAGCAGGACTAATAAGCCGATACTTGTAAATACCAAGCAGTTATTAACACATTTTATAAGATTAACACCTGCGTAACAGCAGATAGTATACAAACATCATTAAGTAATCAGCTAGTCCTCATTTACACACAATAGGGTATTAACACACATTCTGCAGAAGTTGAGCTTTAATGGACAAACTCTCAAGGCTTCAGAATTACATTGGAAACTGTTTAATCCCGATACACTTTCGGCAAGCTCTGATAGGTAAAGAACCGGACAAGAAGGTGGAGGGGCTAATGTGGTTTTAAACCAGTTTATCTACTGCAAGCAGGTGAAGACTGCAATTTTCAAATTCTGTATGACTCACAACATCACACCAGTTTTCAAAGCACGATCCTCCAAATAATATTTTTTTCTTTATCTGCTGACTCTCCACACTTTTAAGCCCAGGAGTGAAATGCAGGAATAGGTTTCCTTGCCAGCCAGCTCCTCCCTCTTAATTCCAGTTCCAAGAACATAATGAAACTAACAGAGGAAGTTTCTGAAACAAGGAGGAGTACTAAGGACAAGAAAACAAGGTTAGCCAGGAGGACTGTCATTAATTATATAATCCAGCCTCTGGGTAACTGGGCATTTAGGGAAAGGGGCCGGGAGAACGTCGGAGGCATCAGCCTCTGCAGCATTATGTCATCTGGTCTGCTACTCACCTAGCAGGTACAGGATTTGTATAGGGAAAAAAACCCCAACACAAACCCATTTATTTCTAGGACAAAAGACTATCAATCCCCACAGCACTTGAAGAAAGAGAGCACAAAAAATTAGTACATTCTGCTCCCGTTCAAATGTCTTTCTTTCCAAGGAGCTAGCTCTCCTGTTTCTCTCTTCTGCCAGCCTCCCTGACTCCACTCTGCTGTCCTGCACAGCACATTTTTGTCAGCCGTGTTCTAAATTTTGTGCTCTTGTTCTTTCAGTGCGTAAACAGCTTGTTCTCTGTCGCCCAGGAATACACAGAGATTGCTATTGCTGAAATACACCAAAAGTGCAAACTATTTTAGGTGGCACTGAAGAATGGAAGAGAGGAAGCAGTACATCACATTTTTTTTCCAAATAAAATGTTAGGCTCAAACATATTTCAAAGGTAATGAGGAGGAGGAAAGTATTTATAATCTCAAATACTCAATGGTGGAGTCCTGCCAGCAAGCATTTTATTTCCTTTTAGGCAGTGAAGCAGGTGTCAAAATGAAGGATGGAAGAGAAATGTATTTTTAATAAAGTGAGCAAACTATACTCTGCTTCATCAAAACAGGAGAAAAGCGTCATGAAGAAAAAATGTTCAAGTAAGGGGACTGGTATTTCAAGGGATCCAGCCCTTCACTGGACCTTCTGAGCGGCAGTGCCGTATTCTGGAGATCAGGCGGAGAGAACAGAGGCAGAAATAACGGGGGACGGGATTAAACATATATGGCTGCTCCCCAAACTAAGTAAATTGTTCAGATACCTGAATGTCATCAGCAGACTGTAACCCTTCCTGTCGCGGAGCCTTCATCCCCCTTAAGCTCAGAGATTCTTGCTCTTGCAGCTCCCCAGCACATCCCAGTGCCTCCCACCATCGCATCCCCCATCGCCGTCCCTCACCCGTTCCCTCCTTTGTGAGCCCCCCAGTCCTGAACATCCATCTCTCCCTTTCCCAACTGGAGACCTGCCAGCTCAGGGTTCCTCTACCTCCTGCCATGTTCCTCCAGCTCCATCTCGCTGCTGACAGCTGCTGGTTCCCAGTATTGCCAGTGCTACTGGCCTCAGTGGCCAACTCCTCAGCCCTCCCCACAGACACAAAGTCCTGATCTCTAGCAGACACTTAACAAAATTCAAACTTGGACTGTGATTTCCAAGAAATTACCTACACACAACTCAGAGCAAAACCAGGACACAGCTATGGGGAAAAAAAAAAAAAAAGAAAAAAAAAAAAAAGAGTTGTACCATAGCCTTTCCCATCGCTTCTAGGAATCACAAAACATTAAGGCTCTGTTGCTGCCTTGTACTGCTGAACACATTGAAACAAGATCTGGTAAGATTAATTTAGCATCAAAACTGTGTGAATTTTGTTTGCGGATGCTGCTTTCTGAAAGGTTTAAGTCCCAGCTGCACTAGGACAGCACACAAATCAGCGATTTGTACAAAACAGCATGAACAAATATAGCATTTGGAGCATTAAAAACAAACAAACAAACAAAGAGGGTGAAGAAAATAGCTCCGTCTTCATAAAGCTTCCCTCAAAAGCACCCAGGCCAATCCATACCCTACTGCATGACAGAGAGATTTCTCCATATCAATAAGGAAAAGCCCTAGACGTCTGCACGGCTCACCACCTCATGCTGGACCAGGCCAGGAAAACCACTCCGAGGAAAAACCGTGCAGCCACTGCTCTGCGAAGCGAGCAAACAAAGCAAGGTCCCCTTGAAACAAATCAGTCGCTGAGGCTCAGAAAGGGACTGCTACCTGCCTGAAGCTGAAAAGAGTCAATGGGAGAACCCTGACTTGAGGGAGTAGACAACGGTGTTCACTGCTGCATACACACACACCACAAAGTCTTCCTTCTCCAAAGCAATTTCTGTAGGACAAAAGCCATTCTTAAGACTCAAGATTTAGGGGCAACTTCAACTTTCACTTCAACAAGTGAAATTCCTGGTTTTGACTCAGGTTCCAAGAAACGTCCGTACTGATGCTATCCCACTACAAAACGTGACTGACAAAGACTCAAGATAGAGCTGCAACGGGTAGCTGGGGACCAGGCTTACCAGTGTTTGTTAGTCCAGATTTAACTTGTTACAATGCAGCAGCCAGATTCAGATTTCAGCTCAGTAGGGTCACATTTGATTTAGGGTGACGTGGAATCCGAGTGAGGCTCTGAGACGTCACCTTTCTCAGAAAACACAAAGCCATAGTGACATTACTGGCTGTACTGGTGTGTTAGCAGGCTCTCCAACCTGGTTTTATTCACAGCACACAGAGGTCTACAGAAACGGACAGCAATTAGGGAGGCAAGCGATCTGCCTTAGGATATGACTGGCAAATAAATACCAAGCAACCATGACTGCCTGAAATCCTGTTAGTAGTAACACATGCCTGTCTATATTAACATTTTGAAGACTCTTCTATTAAATGCCAATCTTCCTGGCTTTTCTGGATTAAACTAGATACATCTTATTTGGAAACACCCTTAAAAACCAAACAAACAAAGCAGCAAACACCCAAACACACACAGTTCCAACGCAGCCAATCCCACCGTCCGTCGGTCCAACTGCAGCCCTTACTTGCGTGTGTCTCCCGTGATCACTACTAAAATACTCCAGCATTTCAGTATAAGGAAGATTTTGTAGATTGTGGTTAATAATGTTTTGGCAGAACAAGTTTTCCATTTTGGGGGCAGCTGGCTCAGTGCAGGAACACCTAGACAACACTTCAGGGCTTGTGCTCGGATAGAAGACAAAAACCCCCAGATGATTCTACTATTTCTTCTTTCATTGCAAGACTATTCTTTTCTCACCACCTCCACCATTTGAACTACATGCCTAAAAAATACACATGCACACTGCAAAATAGAAGCTCAACAGCTTCGACAGCTTCTCGCTCCACGCTGGTGGTATTGCTTCAGCTCTGTTTACAGCGTGATTCAGTCATTTTCACAGCAACGAACTATGATGGCATGAAGAAAGCATCTGTGTCATCAACGAGCGAACAAAGGGGGACAGTTAAAGTTCAGAAGGAACAATACAAAACTTTCCTACAAAGGCAGACCTTAATACTTCAGTACTTCGGAAAAGTTTGCTGCTCCAACTACATTTTAAGAGAAATAAAGCATGAGGGAGACTTAGGAAGAAATATTTACACACACGCGGGCTATGTATAATCAGTTATTTGTGGCATAAACATCAATAGACTCTGTCTGTACAGCTCTGCTTGCCCATCTGACTGCTGTGACTGCAGAATAATTTCTCAGGTGCCCTCAAAGGGCTATTGTTGAAACAAAGTTAGTCATGGTACAGCCTGGCACCAAAACCAACTTTGGTAATTACGTAAGGTGGCAGCAATACCGCTTGGAAGGCTTGTTTACCAGTGACATTGCACAATGTGAAGTGGAACATGCTTGCCAGACGTGGCTGCAGTTCAAGATGAAAATACGCTTGCAAGAGTCACCAGGCGCTCGGCAGGGCTGAGCTGCCGCTTCAGTAGCTAGAGAGAAAAAGCGCAGGTCCCTTCCAAGGGCAGAGAGGCAGCTATCTCACCAACACAGAACAACGTTACAGCCACTAGCTACAAATGCAGACATTAATTTAGGAAGCGATGGGTACCAGCTCAATCACGTACAGGATTTAAGATTTTGAACAAAATCATTGTGCAAGTCCATGGCTGTGGAAGTGAGCGTGACCGTGCAGAGCTCAGCACCGGGCGCACGCAGACCTTTCTGATGTGCCATCGCAGCACGCAAACCAGCAGGCACAACTCATCTCATCAGGAGAAGCCGTACCAGCCAGCCTTAGCTGTTTATTCTTCTTTCTTGTCCTCCCCACATTGTTTAAGCCAAGAACACACCTACCTGCTGCTATCACCACCATGGACCGTCTATAGGAAAGGCACTGTGAGCTCATTTGTAAAGTAAGTTTAGCGAGTAATTTTGCCAAATGAACTAGTGCGTGTTAACGCAGGTAGTTAAAACAACGTGCTGGGAGAGAGCGAGGAGGTGGATGGAATACAGAGCACCACAATCCGACGAGAAACACAGAGCTGGTTGAGACTTCACAAAGAGATTCCAAATTAAAACTCCTGAGCAAATATGTACATTGCCACTAACATTTGATATTAGGCAGTGCCAAAGCACCGTGCAGTCACCATTTCTGCTTAACAACTGGCAAGCGTTCAAACACAGGCCGAACAAATCCCACACCAGTTTAAGTGAGATTTGAGGGGTTACAGAAAGATTTTAAGTCGTGACCCTCACAAACCTGTTGAAAGAAAAACAGTAGGATTGCGAAAGACAGATTTGTCCCTTCTTTCCTTAAGCCTGAAGACTAAAATAAAGCTATGTTCCTTAGGCTCACAAGTAAATGAGAAACTGTTGTCCAAGGGGTTGCTTAGTTTGGAAAAGATTTTTCTCCTTAGACTCCAAATCGCCTACAATCCACCGGTTTGTCCTCACTAATCTGGTTGGGAATCGAAGGCGGACAAACAGACCTCCCCGACGTTGCTGAAGCAGTCCATATCACCGCTTTCGCAACTGTGCCAGGTCAGATGTCTCCAGCATCACTTTGCCTATTAACCATCACAACTCTTAGGTCTAAATTAAAACAAAACATACTGCCTCTCCTAAAAGCAATAAGGCTGGAAGCGTGTCAGCCTCGGTTAAGACTGGACAATTTGATTTAACAAAGACATAGACCTGCCTATGTCCCAAAGCAACGAAAATGCTGTTTATATCTGAATCAGAATACCCACATAAACAGTATCATTTATCACCGATGTGCCAAAGAACGGCTGACTACGGGGGCCCATTGTACCGTGCAGACGGAATAAGAGTCTTTGCCGCAAAGAACTTCCACCCTAAATCAGCATTTAAATCTAAATCCCTTCTAAGCCTGGCTCCTTTCCCATGACCTCCACAATTCAGGTATAACATACTGCTACCTCATTCAGGTTATCAAGCTGTAAAAAACAATAACAAAACAACAACAAAAAAACTAATAAAAACATCATAATGATTAATCATGGGAAATAAATTCTGAATTTCTCAGTTAAATATAAAAATAAGGATTCATGGGTATTTGTCACTCTATGCCAAAAAAGTGGCCAGAGCACAACTGAGAATTGCCCACAATTAGAACAAAAACTTGATTTCAGAGTGGTCTATTTTAGTTTTTCTCAGTCTAATCAGTTAAAGCTACCAAAACAGTTCAGAAGTTTCAGCATCTGCTACAAAGCCATCAGTAACGCATGCAAATAGGCAGATGCCAAGAAAAGCCAACAGATTCAAGAGAACTTGCAGCAACGTGTCTCTCTACCACGTCCACGTCCAGTGCACAGAAGTCACTTCATTTTTACTTCTGTAATTCTCAACACCAGAGCACCCTAAATTCCAGGACTGGCGTTTGCTGCCGAAGCTAAGCCCCCCTGCTAACCGCCTCACACAACGTGTGAGAAACCTTCTGGCCCACAATCACCATTCAAGATGACCCAGGCTTACAGCTGAATCTAATTATCATTTTAACCATCCACAGATGCTGCAAGTACGCAGGTGACACCGGGTGTTAAAGGCTCAAGGGGGAAATACCCTTTCAGCTCCAGCAATAGAGCTCAAAATCCCCAATCAAGTACGAACCTGCTTTGCTGACCCAAGTTCTAACAAACCAGGGGGAAAAATCTGTCTCTCCTTTACAGCCAAATAGGTTTTAAAAAATAAGAAAGACCCAGGCCTTCTGGAAATACAAACTGATTTAGTAGTTCTGTAGGAGGGCTGGTGTCTCGTGACATGCATTGAACAGACCTGTAATGACGGCTCCAATCTGGAAGCTGAAAACTTTGTTCCTTTCCACCATCGCAGCAGGGCTGTAGAGATTAGCACAAATGAAATGCTTTGAAAAATGAAAAGCATTAGGTAAGTACTAAGTATAATTAAAACCCTAAAGATACTTGGGACAGAATAATTATTATTCACTTGAAATTACTTTACTGTGAAAATATTATTTTATTTATAAATTAAATGCATTTCATTGTAGCAAAGGGAACCACTGATAAGCCAAGAAAACAAAAGTCCTACAGAAAAAAAAAAAAAAGAGTACATTACAAAAAAGTACAAGTAGCAAAACAAGCTACTTCCATATTTGATATCAACCAATATGCCTCAGACTTTGACCCACAGAGACAACTTCCAAGAAACACGTTCAAGCACTTTGGGTTCTTCAGTCGGGCCAAATATGAACGCATAAGTCTAGGAGACAGGAAAGAGATTTAGTCACATAGACAGAAATGCTTCCTTTGACTTTTAGTTGGTGAAGAATAGGGACTTTTTCGGTCATGGGCTGTTTTCATTAATTATCATTTGTGTCCCTATCTTCTCCAGATGAGACTGTGGCAACCTATTCCTCCTAGAGCTATTTTGTGTGGAAACAGAGCTCGAGTCCCAGACTTCTGGCTGGTCTGCTATGTCCCTCTCTACAACTGATGTTGGCTGTCAATGTCCTGCCGCTCTAAAACATCAAAAATAAAAGCTCTAAGTGAGGGGAGGGTACAACAAAAACAGAACTTGCCTTCCCAAATGCCCTAGCAGAGCAGTTAAGGACCATGATTTCTTCAGACGCGTTAGCAACGCAGACCTGGGAAATCTGTGGCCTCCAGAAGAACAAAACGCCTTTCCACTTGGAACCTCTGAATTTTGTAGGGGCAATTTTAGACGTTTCTTAACAATCCAACCCTCTAATCATACATAGGCATAACACCCACTTTAAAGTGCGTGCTAAAGACGGTGCCAAACTGTACCTGCCACAGAGAACATCCAGTTGAAAGCTCTGAAAGAAAACCTTGCGTTTTACATGATGAAAAACATCACCTCTCCATTCAGAAACTTACTACAGGTGGTAACCTTATTTCTCTAAGAGTATTATATTGTATATTCTGTAGCTGTCAGGAAGTAACTGTACGTTTTTTTTTAATGTATGCATCATACTTTACCTACGACAACCAAATTTTCCAACCTCAGCAGATTTTGTTCCACTGACTGCACAATGAACAAAAACCACAATGGCTAAAAGATAGTCTCTAACCTTTGCAAAAATTTTGGTCCTGAACGCTGTTCATGCTTCTAAAACAGGAAAGTGGTTTGTTGCACGTGACAATAGTTTCTGTGTACTTTAAATATAAAGTTCTTGTTATCAATGGCAGTCTTTTAAAAATTCATCTCTGCAGAAAAGCTGAAGTTCAGTAAGCTGACATTATTGCAGAAGGTGCTTTGAAGTGTCTATTTCTAATCCTCCAATCTGAATGGCAAAGAAGCTATTTGTGACTGTGAATCCTTCAAATGCAGATCCGAACTGATGCCTCTATGTTTCTGTAACTCATTAACACAAACTCTGCAACTCAGCCTTTACTTAATGTCTTTGTTCCATTCCAAAGCGAGGCACTAGTGCTGTCTCTTAAGATGATTACTCTTGGTGAGCCAGTGTTTCCACATGCACATTCTGAGACCCAACGAAAATTACATTTTCAAAGACATCTGAAATAACATTTTCTTTATCTGCTCTTGCAGATTGACAGCCACAACCCAGGATCCCTTATTGTTCTCCAAAGCTGAGAAGAATTTTTTCTACCAAATTTTACACAAAAGCAGAATCGGGGCTCTGGGCCCCGGATCCCACATGATCCAGCAGATGCTGTTTCCAGCTTCAGCAAGTTTTCATTCAGAAGCAACTGCCTCTGTGTTCAACAGTGCCCCACGGATCACATACAGGATCCTGTTAGCCTGTATAAATGAGAGGCCTCGTTTAGAAGTACAGCACAAATACAATACACAGCTCTTGTCTGGGAGAACTAAAACTGCAATATTACCATTTCCCCCATCATCTCAAAGGGGTGCAAATGTATGGTTCATGACGGTCCTACATGAGAAGCATCAAACAACAACTGCACCTCTCAATTCCCCAAAACGTATGTATTTTTCATTGTAACGTTAGTGCTCTAGCAGAATCTACATGAGAAAACTCATCTGTGCGTCTCCCCCGTGGCACCTACGAATGTGGAAAGTTACAAGTCTTTGGTTCAGGAGTGGCTCAAAAAGAAAACGAATCCACAGTTACTATTTCAGCTCCGTTTGAGTCAAAGGGATCTTTTTCGCTTCTGCTTTGGTATCTGAAACCGCCTGCTACGGCCCACGGGACGCCGGCGCCCTGCAGCGAGGCCAAACCCCACAGCTCACACCTGCTCAAGGTGCCAAAACCGGGCCCGAG